CTATTCTCATTTGTCTGTAAGAAAACATTTTTCTGTAGACCAAATAAATAAATAAATAAATACAAAAACAGCACTTAACGCCATAAACACCCAGATAACTCGTGGCCTTAACCGAAACCGCCCCTGTGAGAGGACTACTGTAGTAGGGTTGGACCTGTTCAAGGCCTTCGACACTGTCGGTTATTCAACGCTGCTAGAAGAGATAGAGGCCTTCTCACTCCCACAGGGACTCAAACGGTGGTCGGCGAATTATCTGAGTGGTCGACACTCGTCAGTAACTTTTAGGGACAAAACCATTAAACTAAGAAAAATTAAACAGGGGTACCACAGGGTGGTGTCTTATCCCCACTATTGTTTAATTATTACATTTCCAGGCTCCCTCAACCACCAACGGTTATCTCGCCGAGCTTTCTCGCTTCTTCACTGCAAGGAGCCTTGCCCTATGTCCTGCGAAATCCTCGGCAACCCCTACCTAACACCTGGACGACGGAGGTCTGACTACAACTAGGTATTCACGTCGGTGGGGTAACAATACCTACGGTGAATAACCTCGAAATTCTTGGAGTCACCTTCGACAGTCTGCTCTCCTTCTCGCCGAATACAACCGCAATTGTGGACAAAGTACCGAGCCGCAACAATGTCCTCAAGTCGCTGGCCGGCAGTACTTGGGGCAAAGACAAAGAAACGTTGTTGGCAACATACAATGCGATTGGCCGGCCGGTTCTAAACTATGCCGCGCCCGTGTTGTCGGCTGGGATTAGCAGGACGCTGTGGATGAAGCTAGAGACCTGCCAGAATACGTCACTTCGGATAGAGAAAGGATGCTTCTTGATGTCGCCACAACACCACCTGCACGAGGAGGCCCACATGCTCCCAGTCAAGGAGCATGGTTTTATTTTTTTGAGAAAGAGATGTTGCGAAAAAAGTATTTTATTGGTAATTTTTCACAGATTTTACTTTAGTTGTATTAATAAGTTTTTAAATTTGAACCCTCATTACATTTGCCAGCAGTGTAAACCTTGAGAAAAAAGGTTCATTTGGCACGCAGGTCTTCGTCAGTTAATTTGTTCCATATCTTCTGTAACCATAGGCTAATTTTCTCCATTTTGAGTCTCAAAGCTTACACTGCTGACAAATGTAAATAAGGATTAAAATTTAAAAATTAATTAATACAGCTAAAGCAAAATCTGTGGAAAATTAACAATAAAATACTTTTTCGCAAAATCTATAAAGGACCCTTTTATTTCTCAAAAAAACCTGGGTAACAGATATTCGTCGCCACGCTGTAAACGGGTATCTACGAGCTTTCTCGCTTCTTAGCTGCTAGGAGCCTTACCCTCTACCCTACAAAATCCTCCGCGACCTTACTTACCACCTGGACGAAGGAGGTCAGACTACCGCTGGGTATTCACGTTGATGACACACCAATTCCGACGGTGAATAACCCAAAAATACTTGGAGTAACTTTCAACAGTCTGCTCTCCTTCTGTGCGCACACAACCGCAATTGTCAACAAAGTACAAAGACGCAACAAGATCTTCAAGTCGCTAGGCTGCAGTACCTGGGGCAAGGACAAAGAAACGTTGCTGGAAACATACAAGGCAATTGGCCGGCTGGTTCTATATTACGTAACACCTGTGTGGTCGCTGGGACCAGTAGGACGCAGAGGATGTAGCTGCGGAAAGCACAAAATACAGCAGTTCGGACAGCGACCGGATGTCTTCTGATATCGCCAGAACCTCACATACGCAAATGTTCCCCATAAGGGTGCACAAAACAATGCTCTGCAAGCAATCCTTAGAAGGGAGCCACAGACATACCCACGACAGCCAGTTCTCGTACCGGAATGACTCGTTTTACCCGACCAAGGGCTGTTGTTTCGGCGATCTAACCCCGTTTAGGTCGGCGAAATCCCTCAAAAGTTGTACGTCTATAGGGCTACTTCTTCTTCGCATACTTCTGCTCAGGGCTGGCAATGAGTCAAACCCTGGACCAGAAACATATACCTGCTGCGTGTGCCACAGACGATTACAACACAACTCCACCTCCGTCAGATGCAATACATGCAATGGGTGGAGCCATTTCCGAGTTTGCTCAGCCCTCACGACTCACAGGAAATGCACCACTGCGTACGTGGCCCCTTGCCGCGCCAAATGAGCTGCCTCCACGGCTCAACACAGTCCGCCTGAGCCACTCAACACAAACACAACCGCACCACAACACAATACAATAGACAATACCACAGACACAACAGACCACACCACAGATACAACTGCACCACCACCCACACGCCACCGCCAACAACTCCTAGTTCCTCCGACAATCTGCACGGTATGCCAGTCCAGGATATTCCGTAATGGGACATCAGTCAAATGCAACACCTGCCTTCAATACTGTTGAATTGCGCCGGATACAACAATAGTCAGCGCTGGTCTGATAAACAGCGTATCATGGCGACCTATTCTGACTTTAGCATCAGACCATCTGCCCATAATCATCTCGATTGATAAACCAGCCGACTTTGTCAACTTTTCTAAAGCTGATTGGAAAGGCTTCGCGGATGTTACTGAAGCGCCTTCGCTGCACTGCCCATACCAACCGACGTTCACGTAAGTTCCCTCTTCATCCCAGCGGGATGCATCTCGGACCCTCGTCCGAATCTTCCTGCAGAAGCGGCTGTCCTAGCCGATGAGCCCTACAACCTTCGTCAGGCCGATCCCGGAAATCCCCGCATTAGGGATCTTAACTCGGAGATTCAGCAACTTAAGAACGTACATAAGCGGAAGAAGTGGGAAGAGCATCTGAAGACCTGCAACTTCGCCTGAGGTGTGAGTAAGCTTTGGTCAACCGTGAGGTTATTGTCCAACCCGACGAAGTGTGACGACAGAGTTGAAATAGACTTTGGTGAACACGCTTCGACGGACCCGGAGCGATGCGCGAGCTATTTTAGCTGGCAGTTCATCCTGCATCCTCCGGTGGATAAAGCCAAACGTCGAGTGACCAGAAGGCTGCACAAACTGCCAAAACAAGGTGCGTCTCTTGTTTTCACCAGCGGTGAGGTAAGGGTAGCCATCGGGAAGGCGAAGAAAGCCTCCAAAGCCATTGGACCCGACGGAATATGCATGCTGATGCTGAAAAATTTTGGCCCTACTGGAGTAGCGTACCTAACGGAGGTCCTCAGCTTGTCAATGGCCACTCTCGACATTCCAGACATCTGGAAGATGGGGAGAGTGGTCCAACAAAGGAGAGCATTATCGTCCGAAAACCCTCTCCACAGTAGCGAAGACGCTAGAGGCCATGCTACTATTGTACTTTACAAACCACCTGTCCCCAGCAAAGCATCAGCATGGGTTCCGTAAAGTACACAGCACAACAACAGCACTTAACGCCATAAATACCCAGATAACTCGTGGCCTAAACCGAAAGCGCCCCTGTGAGAGAACCATTCTAATAGCGCTGGACCTGTCTAAGGTGTTCGACACTGTCAGCTATTCAACATAGAGGCCTCCTCTCTCCCGCAGGGATTCAAACGGTGGTCGGCGAATTATCTGAGTGGTCGTCACTAGTCAGTAACTTTTAGAGACAAATCGAGCAAATCGAGGACACTAAAACAGGGGGTTCCACAGGGTGGTGTCCTTTCCCCATTACTGTTTAACTTTTACAATTCAAAGTTCCCTCAACCACCAGAGGGAGTCTCGATTGTCTCTTATGCTGACGATTGCTCGATCATGGCGTCCTGGAATGGAATTGATTACTTGTGCTCGAAAGTAAACTGTTATCTCGCCGAACTTTCTCGCTTCTTCACTGCACGGAGCCTAAACCTCTCCCCTACAAAATCCTCAGCCACACTTTTCACCACCTGGACCAGACTCCAACTGGGAATTCACGTCGATGATACACCAATTACGACCGTGAACCACCCGAAGATACTCGAAGTAACGTTCGATAGTCTGCTCTCCTACTAGGACTAGCAGGGCGCAGTGGATGAAGCTACAGACCTGCCAGAATACGGCACTTCGGACAGCGACAGGATGGTTCTTGATGTCGCCGCAACACCACCTGCACGAGGAGGCCCACATGCTCCCATTTAAGGAGCATAACATAATGCTCTGCTGGCAGTTCCTGGTTGAGAACCACAGATGTGGCCGTCCAAACAAGCAACTCCTTGCAGAAGGGCCTTCGCCCAGGCACGTCAGGAGGCATCTCTACGAACTGACGGACGAAGTCCAGAGGTTCAGCAAACAACCTCTGGACCCGGCAGCATATCGACAGGCCCTGAGCGGCATTCATAGGGAGTCAGTCTCAAGTTACATAGCCTCCAGACCTGTGAATGCCATTATGGGCACACAACCACCTGACAGACGTAGCTTCGTCTGCCTCGGGAAACTCGGACCAACTTCGCTCTGGCTACTGCAGCAGATTGAACTCATAACTGAGCAGATTAGATGCACATGTGCCAAATGAGTGTCCGGCATGCGGAGAGACACCTCACGACTCGAAACATCTTTTCGCATGCCCGGAAAACCCCACACAACTAACGCCTTTGTCTCTGTGAACAGACCCTGTATAGGCTGCACGCTTCTTGGGTCTTCCGTTAGTTGAGCTTGACAACAACGACTAAGATACTAACCGATACGGGCGGGGTTGTTGTAGCCGCTACAACAACGACAGCAACGGTCACACGGTCTAACAAAAGAAATGTGAGCAAAACTGTCGATTTTGATCGCCAATGTGTACCACACAATATGTCGGCTGACTTAACAGGCGACCACAAAATTTTTCGATTGTGTACATCAGAAACGAACGTCATCGTTTTAAAAAAATCACCCGCCTCTGATATATTTCAGTAGCCGATTCGGTGAGGGTCGCATGGCAAATCACAACTTCTAAATGCATTTAACAAATTTTAAAAATTATGTTGTTTTTAAACGGTTTGAGTTTTATATAATTCTCAAACTCTTGCTAATTACACATCAAATGTCTTATTTGTGTTTTCGTAGGTCCTCCAATTAAAGGAGAAAATATATGATGAACGCGGACCGGAATACGTTGTGGAAAAGCAAAAGCTTATATATGCAGGTGGGTTTAAATTAATCTGCACCTACATACATAAGTTCAGAAAAATATCAATGAAATTATTATATTTTTAAATAGGTGTTATACTAAAGGATGAACGGACCATAGCTTCATATAATGTAGAGGAAAAAAAATTTGTTGTGGTAATGCTCAAGCGAGATGTTGGTAATTACTCACAAAAGCCAGACGATGGCGCCTCATCCACATCTTCTGAAACTCCATCGACCCCTTATAGTGAAACTTTAAAAGATACTCCGAAGAATAAAGATGAAAAGAAGAAAGTATCCAAAGAAAAAAGTGGTGGAAATGGAAGCTGTCATGAAGAGACGAAGTCTGCAGGCAGTGGTGGTAGCGGCGGTAGTGATGACAGTGACGGCAGTGGTGAAGCTAGAGCTGTTTTAGAAGCTGTAGGCAGTAATACCAGCATCTTGTCTACTGGTTCGACTACTTCTCTTTTGTCGCGCAGCAGTGGTGGTTCCGATAGTTCTGAAACTAGCCATAGTACATACTCCAGTGGTGATCTTGCCGGCGTCTTCTCAAACACGTCTTTGCAATCACGTGCTGAATCTAATTTACTCATGGGTGAAGAGTTCAATCGTACAGTCGAATCCATGATAGAAATGGGTTATTGTCGTGAAATGGTTCTACGCGCTTTGGCAGCTAGTTTCAACAATCCAGAACGGGCAGTAGAGTACCTTATTAGTGGTATACCCGACGCACCAGAAGAATTTAATGCAGCCTCAGCAGCTGTCGCGGCTATTGGGGAAAGTGTTTCAATGCGTAGCATCGCCGCAAGCAATGAAGACAATAACACTTCTCAAGGAGAAGCAGCTTATCGACCAAGTGGCGGCGAGAGCGTCGGTCCCAATCCAGTGGCTAGTGGTGACAACTCAACTACTCACCAAGGCGAAGGTCGCTGTGCAGACCTAAGCCCTGCTGGAAGTCAACAAGGACCAGGTGCTACTGAAGAGGGTAATCTTGAGAGGCAAATAAAATTAATGATTTTTAATAGTTCCGTCTGCGTTTTTTTAGATCCTTTTGATTTTTTGCGCAACCAACCGCAGTTTGTGCAGATGCGTTCCTTGGTGTGCGAAAATCCGGACTTATTGCATGCAGTTCTGCAACAGGTAAGTGTAAATGCTATTAAAGCACTGTTTTTTTTATGCGTATACGTATCTACGCTTGAAATACTAAGCGTCAGCTTAAGCGTATATGTAAATACGCGCTAAAAGAAACGCGACTACTATTGTACCTACTGGTTTAATCTTAATGGCGTAATAAATTTAGATAGGACATACTAATCCTGCTCTACTACAACTAATATCGGAAAATCAAGATGCTTTCTTGAGCATGCTTAATCGGCCAATGGAACGACATTCTGATGACACTAGTCCTAGTCACCAATATCCACGTCGTATGACACCAGGGCGACGTGCACAACTAGCAGCTGCGGCGCGTGCTGCAGCCGGAGGGGATGGCTTTCATGTTCATGCGCTGGATACTGCCCCAGGTGCTGGTGGGGATGGCCCTACAACACGCGAACATCCTACAGATGGTGGCGATGCGGGAGCTGACAGCATTCTACGTGAGATTTTGCCACCTCGCACAGACAGAGCAGCAGAGCGGCGTCGTGCTATTGCCGAAGCCTTCATGCGGGAAAGAGCTGCTGCTGCTGCTGAAGTGGCTGCATTAATTGCTGCTCCTCCTGCTATTGCTTCTTCGAATTCTACTGCTGCTGCTCCTACCGATTCTGCTGGCACTTCTATCGCCGTTCCGCATGATACGGGCTCAAGCGTAGGTGGCAATACAAACATACCTGTAACAGAAACTGTGTCTGTTTCTGAACCACCTGTTTTGGAGAGAACCGCCGATGGCCAAAGTTCTTATGTTATTCGTCTAACTGCAGAAGATAAAGATGCTGTTGAACGCGTATGTGTTAATACACTTTACTAATATTATTATTTTCTGTTGACCACCCTTTCTTTGCAGCTTAAAGCTCTCGGATTTGCAGAAGCACTAGTATTGCAAGCATATTTTGCTTGCGAAAAAGATGAGCAATTAGCTGCAAACTTCTTGATATCTACATCATTTGATGACTAGAAAGAGATACCAGAAATCTAAACAAAATCAACTAATTTTTAAGCAACACCTGCTATGTCATATGATTAACGACAGCACTGAATTCGTTTCTCATGATTTGTTTTTTTTTTTTTCTTGTATTTAAACTGATCCTCCGCTCTTTTGTAAATAAACGTGTTGAAATTTGAACTCTTTTCGGCTTCCTCTACTTATGTAATAGCGGAGCGCTATATGGAAGCAAATGCGACAAAAAATTCTAAAAAAACTTAAACTTGGGTTATTATGGGTTTTGTTACAGAATGAACTGTATTTTAATTGAAAATTCCTAAAAACAAATAAATAAACATGAGTGGGAAACAATATCACTTTGAAATGGGGGGGGGCTATTGTATTGAACCATACTGTATATACCGAATAAAAGTCAGTACTTGATGGCATCATATGTATCTCTTTAACATTATCCTTAATTCCTTGTTTTTTTTTCAAAATATCGCTATATATCCTCTGATTTCATTTAGATTTTTTTCTTTATATTGGAGAGGAAAAAATGTGCTGATTTGTCAAATATTTCTTACACCATATTTGTCATACACCATGTAAACTGGAGAGATTGAAATACTTAATAAAACCGAGTTATTTCAGTATTTAATAGTAAATTTATCAAGTAGCACAGAACTTCAGCATTATTTTTTATTCCAACGGAATCAACTTCTAGTCGCTTTAATTAAACATACTCCTGAATTTTCAACACGCCTATTTTCTTCAGTTTGTATATGGGGCTTTAGTTGAATCCATAGTAGTCCAATTTTTTTCAAGTATACTATGTTCTCAGCTATTTGGATTCAGTGAATTTCACGAAAATCGTATCTGCAAGATTTCGATTAAAAGTCGAATATTGCCTCGTACTGCATTGCATGTAATGCTGTACAGTGAAAATTAATACGATGTACATATACATATTCCACTCGTTGTATATTTGATGGATTAAGTTATATATACTATAAACATATTTTAAACAAAAGGCATGCATTATTATACTCTTGAAAGCGAACCTTCCGATTTTTAATAGTAGTTGCTATCTTAAGCACCACCCCAACAACTAAATAAGCATTGATTTTTCGTTCAACCAGAAGCTATTATATTAAAAATGTTTTGATTTTACTTCAGCTAGCGGAGAAACTTAATGAAAGTTTTTCCTTGTGCCTGCAGATAACTTTTTTGTTATTGTTCAACTGCATGGACTAAAAATCTTTCAAATATACTAAAGAGAACCATACACCACAAAAGCTAAACGAAGCGTATAAGTAACGAGTGAGTTGGATTTATTTATTTTATAATCAACTGCTCGGTGTATTGGATAACTTGCTTTATCCATAACTCATACATGGCGTAAGTTGTGTATACAGCGAGAACAAAAGTTGTTTTGAAACAAATAAAGCGATATATAAACTGATTAACTAGATAGAACGCAAATTAATATGTACGTATTGTAATTGCAATTAAATTGATTAAAATGCCGTAGAAACGGAAAATTTGTTTGTTTTTTCTTTATAATTAAGATAACGATATTTATATATGTATGGCCCTTATTATGAGTTGCATTCGATTTTCGATCTTCGCTGGTTATCGAAGATCGAAGATCGAATGTAAAATTGGTATTATGAGCTATGCAACCCTGTCGAAATTATCGAATTTTCGGTCGAACAGAATTTTGCTTTCGATGCTGTAGCGTAGTGTGAGAAAATTGTTGAAAATGTAAGTATTTTGCGTTTGTTTTTTTATTTTTTAGCGTCTAAACGCTAATTTTAAACAATTTGTATTAACTTCATGCAGGTCTAAGGTCGTGAGTACTAAACAGCAACTCGAAAGGCTGGTTTCATTGATGGAAGAAAATCCTCAATTTGCGAAAGGGATTTGTACGAATGTAGTATTACAGTAAATACACCACTCTAATGCATTTACAAATATCGACCGCACACGATGTCAATGCCATCATGACCCACATAAGTCATAATGAACTCAGCGGGAATTCAACGCCATACGTTCAAAGGCACAGTTCAGTTTACACTTGCCAATTGCATTACTCAAGACAGGCACACTGACCAACTCACGTGACGATCAGCTTAACAGATCGTCAGCGTCAGTTTGTCAGTGCGACTGCCAAAATAACTATGACACATATGCTGAGTTAGCATAACATATGCACCTTTGTAGTTTGTAAGTATTAGTGTAAATTAGTGTAAGAAATCTTGTATAAAAGAAAGTAATTTCGAATAAAGAAATCAATTCTTGTTGCACGCTACATATAAGCGTTTCCTTCATTTACATGGCGATCCGGCCAGGCTTCGGTCGTTAGTCAGCGGAAAAACCGCTAAAAAGACCGCGCGCCACTGACCGTTATAACACCTTACAACGGCACTAAGTCTAATTTTTTGGTAACATACGGGCAAGATGATGAAGCTCCTGCTGTGATTCTATTCGCTCAAAACGTAGCTGCGAAATCTCCGGATGAACATCTTCTCATATATGATCTTGGGTTATCAAAGGATGATTCCAGAGCTTCGATAGCATAAAAGGGTGGAATATTTGAAGGAATCTGACTGGCAGCACAGCAACCAGACCCCTCCAAGGCAGCAAAGAAAAAAAATTAAAATGGATAGTATAAATAAATTAAGATAAATTGAGCACGCCTCATGGCCGCTTAACCAAGAGCAAAATTAATTTTGCTTAGGAAATTTTTTTTTGTAATTTTGCTTAGGAAATTAAAAAAAAAAAAAAAAAATTCAACAGTTAATTGAAAAATAAACAAAGAAAAAAAGAGCTTCTTATAAGCATTAAAATTTTTTTTACATAAGTATGCAGGAGATTACAACTCAGGAGGAATTCAATAGAGTATTTAAAAAGTGCGAAGACACCATAAAGGAACTCATAAAAATTTCCGAAAAAATCCTTAAGAGTCGTAACACTGCAAAGCAAGGTCCGACGCCGATTACCATAGAAGAGTATCGGCGACGGAATAAGCTTAATAAAAAGGAAGAAATTCCTAAAATACCTACCCCTATAAAAATCCACAAAAGGAGACGGGGAGGTAAACAATTCAAAAAAAATAAAGAAATAGCCGAAACTTTTAGGCTACTGAATCTAACAACAAATACCGTTGATAGATTAAGATTAAAAGAAAAAATAAATATGTTAAGAAATAATTAATTTTTCAGAAAATAATAAAACTTGTTAATAACAAACTGAGTAAATTGGAATGTCGAAGGATTTTTCTAAAAACCCACTTAAGGGGGATCAAAACGCAACTTTAAAAGTTAGAGAGAGAGAATTAGCTTATGGAGTCTAATAGGTATGACTAGGGAACCTACTTTAGATGATGCCTACAACTAGAGGAGAAGAAACATGTAGGATGATGAGGATGGTATTCCCTAATGAGGATTAAATTAAATTGTAAGAGATTCTTTTCAGTAAATAAATAAATAAAAATATACACATAACAACTTTAATTTTATTTTTGAAAATTGCATGGTGGAAAACCGTATTACACGGTATCCTAATAGGAATAGCAGGATACGAAGTCGGTAAGGAAAATTCTGGAGAGAAAAACGCTGAAAATAAACTGGTCAGGTATGAACCAAAACTCAGTATAGAAAACAAAGAAGAAATCTCAGATAAATGGTTAACTATTTTCACATGCGTAACTACATTTTTATTTGTCGCAATTGCAATTCTATTAAAAAATTATATAAAGAATAAACTGAGACAATTGAACACGGTACAACAACGCGTCTAAACAAAAAATTCGATATTCCAAGAAATGAACCAATGGCAAGAAATATACGACGTATTATCTGAAGAAAAAACAAAAGCTAGTAAGTCGTACAAATGCATAAATAAAAACGCTACTATAAAAATAGAAACAGTAGTAAAGCATTTGAACATAATTTTAGAAGCTCTAAAAAGAATAAGACAGGTGATCAATACAACAGACCGTATACTTACCAAAGAACACCAGAAAGAAGTCCGCCAATTTTTCTTCGCCGTACGAGATAAGTTGGTATCTTCTTTAGCTAGACACAATATAGAAGTAACAATACCAACCACAGTAGAGGAAAAAATCCAGATCGATTTCAATTCAATTTTATCAGAACGTGCTCAGAGCCCGATTCCATCACCTTCCTTGAGCCAAACTCCATCAGTGGAAGAAAAGAAACCGTTAGACATCCCAATCATAAACGTCACAATGGTGCAAACTGTAGTCGAATTTGTTAAAACTGCTTCATCAGTGCTACCAGAGTTTGATGGTAAGCCGGAGAACTTATACAGTTTCCTAGACGCCCTTGATATACTTGATCAAATCAACGATGATCACGAAGCATTAGCGATAACAATGATAAAAACCAAGCTAAAAGGCATGGCAAGAAATTTTATCAGTACCGAAAACACAATAGAACTGATAAAAACAAAATAAAGGGTGAATCAGTAGAAGCTTTAACCGCTAAACTCCTGAACATCCAACAACGTAGCAAAACTGCTAATCAATACACAGCAGAAATAGAAAAAATTACTAGGTCATTGGAAGGAGCATATATCTCGGATGGACTCAACCCAGACTTAGCAACGAGATATTCAACCCAAGCAGCAGTCAAAGCAATGTGTAAAAACTGCTCCAATGACAAGGTCAAAATGATAATGCAATGATAACGATGCAATCTCTAAATTTACGAACAGCTGTACCGAAATAACGGGCAGCTCAAACACAATTTTGAATGTACGACAGCAGAGTCAGTACCGGAGTAATTTCCGTGGAGCTTACCGAAGTAACAACTATGGAAATTACCAAAGTAGGAGATTTAGACCGCAACCGAGATACAGCAATAACTCGAGGTCCAACAGCAATAATAATAATAATAACCGAAGAGGATCACAAGCTCAAAATGGCAATAGACCTTACAACCAGACCCGTAACGTGCGCAGCTGCACCCAGACGGAAAACCAAGAAACTCCACTTCAAGATCAGTAGATAGGAAAATATGCGTACTTAATCTACATCTCAACAGCTATATAGCTACGAGGACTTCATTAAATAATTCGATTTCAAATTTCTTAATTGATACAGGAGCAGACATCTCCATTATAAAAAAGCATCAAATTAGTAAAAATCATCAAATAAATACAGAACAAATTACAGATTTAAAAGGCATTGGTCAGGGAATAACCAGCACATTAGGCACAATCAAAGCAGACTTAAAAGGCGATGACCTCTTAATTTACCATAAATTTCATGTCGTAGAAGACGACTTTCCAATTCCATGCGATGGAATAAGAGGACTAGATTTCATAAAGAAGTACAATTGTATTTTAGACTATGGAAAAACAGAGGATAAACGAATCCTAAGACCATATGATTTCCCCCAAACAATAACGATGCACCTAACAAATTGTCTATCTGTTAATACAATTACGATCCCTACTAGATCTGAAGTCATTAGACAAGTCAAAGTAAACACTGACAACATAAACATCTTCATCCCACACCAGCAATTATCTGAAGGCATTTTCATAGCAAACACCATTACAAATAAAGATCAAACTTTCGTTAGAATTATCAACACAACACATAAAAACACAACCATTCAAAATTACAAGATCAATACCGAAAATTTAGACGATTACACACTAATTAAAACAACCACACACGATAAAAATTGCAACGATACAGAGAAATTAAAAAGATTAACAAAAAACTTTCCAAAATTTGTCAACTCTCAGTTAACAACACTATGCACAGAATTCATAGACATATTTGCACTAGAAACTGAACCAATCTCCTCTAACAATTTTTATAAACAAAAATTATACATGAAGGATGACACTCCTGTTTACATAAAAAATTATAGATTGCCTCAAACGCAAAAAGGAGAAATATGCAAACAGGTAAATAAGTTAATAGAAGATGATATAATAGAACCCTCTATATCAGAATATAATAGCCCAATCTTATTAGTCCCTAAAAAATCACTGCCAGGAAAAACAGAAAAAAGATGGAGATTAGTGGTAGACTACAGACAAGTAAATAAAAAGCTAGCAGCAGACAAATTCCCACTTCCAAGAATTGACGATATTTTAGACCAACTTGGAAGAGCAAAATATTTTTCATGCCTAGACCTTATGTCAGGTTTTCATCAAATCGAGTTACACCCAGACTCCAGAGATATAACCTCATTCACAGCCGAAAATGGCACATATAGATTCAAAAGACTACCTTACGGATTAAAAGTAGCACCAAATTCATTCCAAAGAATGATGACACTAGCATTTGCAGGCCTCAAGCCATCTCAAGCATTTCTCTACATGGACGATTTGGTTGTATTAGGCTGTTCTGAAAACCATATGCTAAAAAATTTAAGAGACGTATTCTCCACATGTAGAAAATACAACCTAAAATTACATCCCGATAAATTCCTATTTTTCAGCCAAGAGGTAACTTATTTAGGACATAAATGCACAAACAAGGGAATACTACCCGATC